TTTGATAAAGTTTAATAGTAATCATAATTCTATCATTTGAAATCATTTTTCATCCAAGTTCCTTATATTACACCCTTTTTCAATTCTAGTTGCGTACAAACTCAATTGAGATTTTCAACTATAAATACTATAAAAATTCTCATTATTTAGATAGGGGGAGAAGGAGAGGAAAAATTATAGAAAAATAATAGGAGAATTTTTACGTGCAAGATTTTATTCATTTTAACTTTTCAAAATCAAGGTGAGATACTTTATGCAAGTGGTTTGTTTTTGTATACTTTTATATTTAGTAATTTATGCATAAATTGTCAGTGGACATTCGAATTCGACCTAATGAAATGTGATTTCTATTGGATTCTTTATAATGAAATGTGAAATCCTTTAGGAATTCAAAATACTATTGATAAGTGTGTCTCTTGGTCATCGATACACTTCATAAGAAATGTGGTATGAAGTGTGTATTTTATTATTATATAATTGTGTATGAAAATTGTACATATCTAATTGGGTAATTTTAAATACTCACTTTTACAATAACTTTACAGTTTAGTTCGGGTCGATTGGAATTGTGGGTGATGGTGTCGTGGACTGTCAAGGGATCGAAGGAAAAATAAACATTAAATTTTTCTGTCTTCAATGTAATAATTAGTTTAATTTGGTCAAAAACTTGTTATTTAATTAGTGATTATGTTATTTTCTCAAAAATACAATTTTCATACTTAGTTTAAATTTATGAATATTCCAATTATTTTACTCATCCTTCCGCATTTAACGTAAAGAGAAATAAGTTAAGGGATCTGAAGCCACGTGTCCTCCATCCAACGGCTCTCCTCTTCCTTTCTCTTGTATAAATATCCCCACGCAATGGTAAGGAGGAGATTCGAACTCTAACACTTACATTCTAGTCTTAACTCAAAAGAGATTTTCACTATATTTACACATATTCTCAACCACGTCCTAGTGATCACTTCATCGCCAGGCATTACATTTCGGTTGACGAGATATTGACTTGATCGTTGGAGTGCTTGCGGCTACTTCCACTCCCATCGGAAAAGGCCACGAGTGACTAATAGTGCGCTACCGTGAGCAAGGAGGAGCTTACGTGAAGTTTCGTTTTGTTGGCCACATGTCGAAACCATTTTTCGAGGTGAATAGTAATGAACATATCATTTTGGTGGAATTGTTCAAAGCTCAGCCCCTATTTCATTTCCTTGGCATTAATAAAACTGTCTTAACTTGTTCTTCAAGCTCCACCCATCAAGGCAGAGGAGGCGGATGGTGGGGAAAGTGAGCAAGGTAGGGAGAGAGGATGAGTGTTGTGTGGTGCACTCTGCTCCTTTTAACAGTTTACTGAATTT